TAGGGAAAGGTTCACACCTGCACAACAAAATATGCATCACAACCATGAATCACTCATCGTCAAGTTCAAGTTATCAGCCAACTTTTAGTTTGGAAGAAATATGAAGAAAACTTTTTCTTGAATGGCTTTTGCTCGTCCTTAAGTTTCACTCCGCAAAAAAGGTGAGATTTGAAGGTAACGCAAATAAATTTCTATAGGCTTCACATATAAATATGTTCTAAATTCTGATAATGATTCCTAATTTCCTAAAATACATTAAAGTGCATAAGCTTAATTCTGTCTTCACCTAAAAGCAGTATACTTGTGACATATACCAACTTGGTATACAGTATTACAGTTTAAAGAAACTAAAACCAAGACTTACCAATCATGCAAAACACCGGCAAAACCTTGATCCAAAATGAGAGGAAGAGTATTTGGAGCTCCAACAGGTACAACATTCATCACCCACACTGATTTCCTTTCCTCCAGAAATGCAGCATTTAATCCCCCATAATGAGCATTCATGTCCATTACATTGCGTACCATGTTAAATGGAGGTACCGGGTCTTCATCACCTGGTCTCTTTGGGTGATCCGAGAAAATTAAGGGTGTAAGCAAAGACCAATAGTTTTTCAAAGCTGCTCTCATAACCTGCAAATCCTCAAAAATATCTTCGGGCTGAACTCCTGGAAAGATGAAACAGTGTCAAAAAACTAGATAGACTGAATTAACAATACCCCAACAACCATTTGATCATGATATCTTATCATATAAAAAAGAGCTCCATGGTGGCAGTATAGGAAAAAAGAACGCTTCTCCCAACCCATATCATGTCCCCAATACCCACATAACCCAGAAACTAAAATAATAATACATAAATAATAAGGGCGTTGGAATAATACTTTCCATGAAGTTCAAGCTCAGCTGAGCTCAATTGTGAACCAGAGGACCTGTTCTGGATTGGAATCCAGCGTTTGATGGTGGTTCCACTAATACACGATACAAGGGGCCTATAGTATGTTTGAATCTCATGGTCTTCCTTACAAAGTGGTATAGCCCCCTGCTTGCTATAGGAACAAACAAAATGAAAACATTACTAAAATTCTGCAGATAATACTTCAAAAGAGAGAAGCAAACAGACGGTTGCCTGAGTTTTTATGACAGTATCCTCACCGAGATGTATAGCAATTAGTGTCAGAAGTTTTCTGCCAAATAAAAGTTTCATCTTGCTGAGCTAGAAGGCTCCAACAAATATCCTGGGTCAAGTCTTCAATTGGAGTTAACGCATTTCTTTTCTTCATATTTGATGAACTTCCATATGGCTTGCCAGTGGGTGAGGTTAGCACAAAGTAACCTCCAGGTTTCAGTACTCTATCAACTTCCAGAAGCAACATCCCATCTATTTCACGAATCAATCATAGTCAGATAAGGCATGCCGTTTTTTTCTATATCAATGAATTAGACGTATTTATTTATTTATTTTTGCTGAAGTAACGTTTATATTTAGCGAACTTAAAAGTATAATTTGAATTTAAAAAAATGGAATAGCGCCCATAACAAATCTATCTAAGCAAGCACCTTTTTGGTCCCAAAGAATGCCACATTGGGCACAATGAACCATGTCAAATGACAATGATGGATATGGAAGCTGTCGAGCAATGAAGTTGCCAAGCATTGCTGGGAGACCTCTCTCAAGGGCCAACTGAACTTGGCTTCCAGTTGCCTCATATGCCGCAATGCAAACGGCCATTACTTTTAGCGATACTAAATGAGCTCCAAAGCTACCAAAACCACAACCGATATCTAGTACGTTTCGAACCTGTAGTCAGGACAAAGATTAAAATGCAAGCCTCCTGCACCCTACTCATTATTGAAGAAACATGTATATGGATGCATGCTAACATAAAGCAGCACCACATCACACTGCAAACCTTTTTTGTTTGAATACAAAGGCAGCATGGATAAGTATTTGATAAATTTCAGCCATTTGCAAGGGCAATGGCTGACCAGAGAGTAGCGACAAAAATTTGTATAACACGAATAAGACTTACCCCAGCTTGAAGAAACTCATAGTCACTTCCTAACCCTATCATCTCTGCAATCTGACGAGAATAATCCTTGACACCATCAAAGATCAAGCCATCCTCCGAATGAAAAGCAATTTGGTTCTCTTCTAGCAACATCAATCTGGACAGAAATCGTGAAGTTATAAACTAATTATGCATATTTATAACCAAATAACAACTAAAATGACATTAAACCAATCAATCATGAAAAATATTTTAACTGACTTGATTACCTTTTAGTCATGCTTCCAGATGAAAGAAACTGGTCTTTGGTTATCTTCACATTGCCACTCCATATCACATCTCTACCAGTCGGCCACCTTAGAGGAATCTTATATTCCTTAGGAGCACGAATCAGACACTGCTCTCCTTCTCTTGATAACTCACAATGCCGATCAAATTCCTCTCCATCTTTGTATCCAGCTATAAGACTTGCTGAAACATTGTAACATGGCACATGATTTTCTCTTTCTTTACCACAAAGATCAATCTCTTTTTGCCGGCTAGGCGCCAAAAAGAGAGACCTCAGCTCCAGATAATCAACTGCCGCCTGCTCCTTAAGCCTTCTATAGTTTGTATAGATGTCTGGAACCCGGGTCGGAGTTACAGAGTAAAAAGCACCAGAAGAAGACGAACCGAAGACCGCAATAAGCGCAAGCACACAAACAAGGCACAAAAGTAACCAGCTGAGTGGCGGTCTGGGGCCAAAAATGGCAGAGAATTTATTGAACCAAGAGCTTCTCATATCCAAATCTTCAACCCCGTCTCGAAAATCAAATAAAAAGGTAAAAAGAAAAAAAAGTAAAACCCGCTAGATAACTAATTCCTTCAACATAAATCTCCAAGAAGATCGGAAACCATAACCAATCACTACACACAAGCTTCTATATATGTTACCATGTATCCGCACAACTCTCACAAGCATTGAAACGACAATTTAAACTTCCTTCCAAGAAACATGTGCAGATCTTCCGATTTTACCAAAATTCTCTCAGATTCATACATGAACCGATCATAACCATGAGCCGAACACAAATTGAGATCGCAATGCACGATTTTTGGCACTCAATTACGGATCGGAAATCGGAAAAACCAAACAAAATAGAAGACTTGTCAGAAAAGAAACGCTGGATTCAACCGAATGAGCACGATCAGTTAACGCCAAGATTACAAAACGACACTCTCCAACCAATAACCAACCTGCAGAGAAGTCGAGATCCACTAATCAGTTAAGAGCAGAGAAAGCTTCCAAATGAATCTAACGCCAGATTCCAGGGCAATAAGATCTCAAACGTCACAATGCATCCATTTCTTCTTCAATTGCACCAAAATCTCAACATCTCAAGAAAGAAAAGACAACAAGACATTTAACGCAGATCCAATCACAATCATTGAGAATCGCACAAGAAGATTACAAATGCGAAATTGATCGAAACACTTACAAAAATGATTTCTCTAGGGTTTTGAGGAGACGAACCAGATTTCTTGTAGCTGAAGAGTGAGATTCAAAGCACTGAGCAGAAGAAGAAGAATAAGAAGACGAGAAGAAGAAAATTGGGGCGAAATTGAAATCCCAAATTTATTGGATTCTTTTTTATTTTTGTGTGTGTTTGTCCGGTTTGGGGTTTTTATTTATTTGTTTTATTTTTATTTGTGTGATTGAAAATGAAATCAGATCCAGGGAGGTCGCGGTTTTGGACAAATAAAACAAACGACCTTTGCCTCGTGTTCATTTTTTTTTAAATTACGTTAAGTGAGAATAATTGTTACCCATTTAATTTATAAATTAAAATTATTTTTAATTTATGTGTATTTTTTATAAAAAAAAAATTATAATAAATAAAAAATTATAATTTAAATTAGATAACGAATTTTTTAACGGGATTAACTACCCTATGTTTTTCCACTTTTTTCTTTCTCCCCTCTTGTTTACCTTTTGGAATTAAAAAGTAAAAACTATTCCATTGAAATCCCAAATTTATTGGATTCTTTTTTATTTTTGTGTGTGTTTGTCCGGTTTGGGGTTTTTATTTATTTGTTTTATTTTTATTTGTGTGATTGAAAATGAAATCAGATCCAGGGAGGTCGCGGTTTTGGACAAATAAAACAAACGACCTTTGCCTCGTGTTCATTTTTTTTTAAATTACGTTAAGTGAGAATAATTGTTACCCATTTAATTTATAAATTAAAATTATTTTTAATTTATATGTATTTTTTATAAAAAAAAAATTATAATAAATTATGAATTATAATTTAAATTAGATAATGAATTTTTTAACGGGATTAACTACCCTATGTTTTTCCATTTTTTTCTTTCTCCCCTCTTGTTTACCTTTTGGAATTAAAAAGTAAAAACTATTCCTTAAAAAAAAGTAAAAACTATTTTCTTTTTAAAAAACTATTTTCTTCGTTTGCTACTAATCCGAGCTTAATCACTGTCATGGAAAATGCCAAAGTCACGGGAGTTCACGTTTTGGATTGTCACAGGCCTCTACAAACCGTGAAATAGATCGACGGGTTTTCTAATTTTTCTTTTATTTTGGCCGTCACAAGAAAGAAAAATAATTTTAAAAAAAATAGTAATGGAAGACTAATTTAACGGTGTTTGCCAAATGGAGCATTATTCATAACCACAAAAGAAGAAGGGAAAAAAAAAAAAAAACAGAGGCTAATTTATTATTAAGATATTAAGAGCAGAAAGACTCCAAGTCCGACAACTCCAAATAATTTCACTTTTTGTCACTGTAATGCTTGTCATCATCATTTGTTTGGAGGTTTCCTTTTTCTTTACTCTTTTCTTTAACCTTTTTTTAAATTATTTTGTACAAATAAAAGTGGGGCATCCTTACTCCTTTTGCAAACAGATAAACAAACCAAAACTGTAGCAGTCATGTGGGGTGGGTTCACCAATTTCTTTGTTTCCTCCCGACAAAATAATGAAATAAAAAATGAAAGTAAATTAGCGTGCGTTTAAAAGAGAAATTCGTGTTATAATTTAAATTATAATTCATAATTTGTTATAATATTTTTTTTCATAAAAAATTATAAATAAAACGAAAATAATTTTAAATTTATGAATTAAACGTCTCATAAAATATTTTTTTTTCTCTATTTGAACAAGAAGTTGATTTCGAACCACAACGCTTCATTTTTCTTTTTTCTATTTTTACCAACATCAAATAATAATAAAAAAAAGTACCCAGAAAGAAAGAGAGTTAAGAATTGCAAACCGTTATTTATTACTATTAATAAACGATAATAGAAAATAATTTAATTTAACGGGGGTAGGTCCAGTCGGTAGCCTACGTCAAACAATCTGCATTAAAAAGTACGGCCAAACTCGATTGCAAATTTAAGTGCTTTATTTGGTGTGAATAACAGATTTTTTGCTTACTTTACGCATCCATATTCCAGAGTGTCACATCTAGAATGTGAGCTGTGCATATATCAAACATTAAAGAAGAAAAAAAAAAGAAAAAAGAATGTGAGCTGTGTAAACTGGTTTTTTCTACGTAGAAAAAGAAAAGAAAAGAAAAGAAAAGAATTAATGGTGCAATTAATAGAAATTTCGAGGCCAACAATGGAGGACTTAAGGGAAGATTTAAGGGCTTATTCAGTTGTATTTTTAAGTTAGTAATTTGAATATAAATTTTAAATTAAATTTAAGTTATAATTTGAATTAAAATTATAATTTGAGTTTATATTTAATTGTGTACATTTAAATTATGATTTGAGATGAGAATCTTTTAAAATTTGTATTTAGATGGATAAAAACTTGAGTTTATATTTAAATAGTATTTTAATAAAAACTTAATAATAATGAAAAATTTTAATAGGATATATGAGTGAGGTTTTACTCGTCCCTTCGTTGTGAACGCATAGAAAAAAGAATCAGCTCAATCAGAATTAAAAAGAAAAAATTGTAGCATTTTTAAGAATAGAAAAAAATATTGTTCATTAACTTGAGTTTAAGTTTAAGAACTTGAATTGAAGAAAAAACTTGAACTCAAATTTTAACCCCAAACTTAAGTTAAAATTCAAATTAAAACTCAAGTTTAAACTCAAATTTTACAAAAGAATATGCACTTAAATAAATTTATAATTTGAGTTTAAACTTTTTTTAAATTTAGATGCAAACAAACAAGCCTTAAGTCTTAACATTGCATAGCGGTTCACAATTAATCACAACTCAAATTTTTTATTATAATATTTTTTTAATAAAAATGTAATTTTTTTTACTATAATATTTTTTCTAATAAATTCATTTCTTATCAACTATTTCTTTTTTTCCTCAAAAAGTTCTCAACTATCTTGAGAGTTTAACTCCTTTAGTAGCCACTGTTTGAAAACGGCTAAGCACGTGCTAACTTCATGGTCAACATGATCAACTATTTCTTTTTTTCCTCAAAAAGTTCTCAACTATCTTGAGAGTTCAACTCCTTTAGTTAGCCACTGTTTGAAAACGGCTAAGCACGTGCTAACTTCATGGTCGACATATGTGGCTGCAAAGTTCAGCATTTTCCAGAAGTACAATTATTGGAGAATGAGAATCTACTTCGACCAGGACGATGCACAATTTTAGACCAAACATATCATCAACCGTACCAATCACAGACGAGCTGGAGAGGTGAAAATTGCAACTACAAAACCAATCGAATTTGATATTTAATCAGCCATTGAAGAACAGCCACGAGCTTTGAGTTTAATGCTATGTTTGGTAGGTAAAGAAAATAAAATGACAGAAGAGAGATTTTTCTTCATATTGTTTAGTAAAAAAAATAAAATAAAAAGAAAATATTAAATTTAATGTATTTTATAATAATACCCGTATACAAATAAAAATATAATGTATGATTAAAATTAAAATAATTATTTTACACCTCATTTATTTATCTAAATTTTTATTTCTTTTTTTCTTTCTAAAATTAGAAGAATTAAAAATTAATGAGTCTCATAAATTTTCATTTTCTTTCATTCTTCATTTCCTCTCTACCAAACAATAAAATATTCAATTTTCCTCTCTAAAATCCTCCACTAATTTCTTTCCTTCCCCTTTTTCTATTCTACCAAATACACGGTTAAGTTTTCAATAGTGCATTTTAATTATGTTGAAGTAATATCATCCATTTCTTACATTAACGTATTATAATCAAACAAACAAATGTACCCAATTGTCAAAGAGGCATACAATCCAAGGAACTCAACATGAAAAGTTTGGAACAAGAAAAATTGAGAAAAGAGTGAGCATTGGCATTTCCGAACAAGAAGTATGACTAATTACCGTATGATGCCCTGTATCCTATTACCAAATTTTCTATCGGAGAAAATACTGTGACAAAAACGATTGAACTGCAAGGGCTCATTATCTAATTTATATAAATACTAACCCAACCACAATGAGCTTGAAAGAAGCCTTCTAAACCTCGAAACAAAACATAAATATTTTAGGTCTCGTTCTTTTTGTTGATTTGAGTTTAGAATTTGAGTTTTATTATAATAAAAAATTATCAGAAATAATTATATCTAATTTTTTTATTACAGTAAAAAAATATTACATCTCAACTTGAATTAAAAACTCGAATTAACATTTAGAATTTGAGTTTTATTATAATAAAAAATTATCAGAAATAATTATATTTAATTTTTTTATTACAGTAAAAAAATATTACATCTCAACTTGAATTAAAAACTCGAATTAACGGATCAATGACAAGTATCAGAGTACCTCCAAGTACAATACTCTACACACCACTGTTACCAATATTCACTTTGTAATTTTCCTCCTTCAATGGCTTCCCAACTCCCTGTTCAAGTAATCCACAAACATCCTCTTCGCGCTGTCCGCATCCGAGGGCGGCGGAGGTCCGCTCAAACTCGTTTGCCCCGTCAACTTGATAAACGTCCTCCGTAGCCTCCGAAGCTCCGGTAGCCCAACCGACCGCGAAATGTTAACCGTCGGCAACCCCTGGCCCAATGACACCCCATTTAGAGGCCCTCCCATTGCCTGGGACTGAGCCTCCACCAACGCACTGATCACCTCCTGAGTCGCCCTATCCAACTCGTACAGCGAATTCGCCTCCGAAAACTTTGAATTCTGCGTGGCGATCGTCGGCTGCAGGATCTTAACATCTCTGGTCTTCGAATCAACCTTCTTCGTCAAGTACAAAAGCGCCTCGGATATCGCCGGAGAAGTTTTCTCGACGCCGTCTTTCCACGGAAAAAGCTCGAACAGCGGGGAATCCCACCGGTTTCTTCTCTCCGGTCTCTCGAACCTCGAAACCAAATCGTCGAAGATCTTCTCGTCGTAAGAAGCTTCTCCTCTCTCCCTCCGTTCCCGATTCCACTCCCCGCAATGCGGCTCTTCGACGTCGCAGAAGACGACGCAGTACCGAATCCCAGCGGCTCGGGCCAGGCACCAGAGCTCGTAGCGGTAGCCCTTGATGCTGTTCAAGGAATCGACGATGACGATGCTGTCCCTGGTCAACGAGCGGTCAACCTCGGACCTCAGAACTCCCCTCAGATTCTTCTCCGACGGCACGTTCGCGTAGCTCTGGTTCCTGTCAAGATGAAAGGAAGCCTCGTCGATGATTTTCACAGCTGGTTTCGATTCCGATTCTTTCAGTGCCTCCGCTAGGGAATGAGCTGCCGTGGATTTACCACTGCAGGGTTGCCCACAGATTACGACCAACGCCATTGCAAAAAGGATTTACAACCACTGATGCACAAAAGAAGACAAGATTTTAGGGGAAAGAGGAAACGTTACAGTTATTCGGAAAACAGAATTAATAGAAAAGGCTACGCAATTGAAGAAATTTTCCGGGAAAATCGCGAAACGTGTAATTGATAAGCACGAGAAGAATATGAGATTTGCGGTGCATAGAAGAAAAGGCTCACCTTTGAAATTGAGGCAGAGAATAAAGAATTTGGGATTGAAGTGAAGAGATAGACGGTTGAGGAAACCCTATTTATTTGATTTTCTGGGATGCCAAACAGATGATTAAGAATGATGGATCGGAAGTGTCGCGGTGCGATTGGGGGGACGCCGGGGTCGGATCAGACTGCTTTTGGCAGCGTCGGCGTTGGTCTATGAGAGTTGGGCGGTACTGGGGTTTTCATTCACGGTAAAAGGGAAGGGTATTGGAGAGCGTCCAAACGACATCCTTTAGTAGCTTTCTTTTACGAATTTGTCTTTGCTACAGGTTAAGTTTAAGCCGTCCGATCCGACCCGAGACCTGCGGTTTAAAAAACATTTCGGGTCAGTCTTAAGTTTAAAAAAATGAGTCGGTCTAGAGTTTTATAAGATATTTTAAAAAAAGAAAAAGTCGGCCCAATCCCCTAAACTTAAAAAATTTGACATGGCCAAATCCGAACCAATAATGATGGGCCTCAGGCTGCCCATTTAACTCAATCCAAACACGAATCGAGAAAATTAACATCCATCAAAATCCATCAACTTGTTTTTTACTGATTATCTATCAGAATAGTCTTCTCACTCGTAAAGACCGGAGCAAGAAATATCTGTCATTTTTATATAAGAGAAATTTTTTTTTTTTTAAGGATATTGAAAATATATCTACCCGATATTTTTATAACTGGGATACATGGTCAATTTACGTCAAAATAACATAAATGTAAAGATGCGTCTTTTAAGTAATATTGTTATATTTCTTTCTTACTATTTCCACGAGTCAAATGTAATAACAAATGAACGGTTTTTACCACCATTGCCCCGTAGCTTGTTGAGAGTCGGAAGCTTGTCCTTAAAAACTTTTAATTTTTATAATTTATCTGCTCAACTTGTTTAACTATTAGAATTAGTCACATAGGATAAACATTTGTTAAGTAAATATATGCCTCGTTCACTGATTCAAGTTCTAATAGTAACCATTACGATTCTCATATCAAATTAATATTAAAAAGTAAACTTGCAAGAGTCTCACATAAAAAAAAAATATTAATATTTTCTCTCAGATACTTTATATAAAGTACAATTAGCCTAAACTGACCTTCATGTTGAAGCTCAAATGAATCTTTTTTAATTTTTGCTTTTGAATATAACCACTTAGTTTTCAAACGTCTGAAGCCCACAAAAAAAAAAAAAAAAAATGAAGTACATTGTCCTAGCTTCCAAAAAAACAATAGAGACAAAATCAATTGTGGATGAAACAAATGTGATTAGTTGAAATATTAGCATCGCAGTTCTCAAGTCCATCTTCAAACGCAAGATAGAGTAGAATTTTAGAGCTTGTTCGGTTGCCCAACATTATTCAAAAAAAGCCCACTCGAGTGAAATTTTTACTTAAATCTGCGTTCGACGCGTGCAAACTCAAACTGACACTCAAAACTCAACTCGAAAATTAATTCGAGTAACCTGCCTTTCCTGAGTTCACCTTCTCACTGCAATTCGAGTTACTCCTCTGTCTTTCTACAGTGAAGATTCCTGGGTATTATGACCGTTGTGTGCTTCGTCCATCTCTGTTTGCTCTAACATGCCAGACTGCTGCTTCACGTGCTTCTACAGAGAGATTCTCAAAACCATTTTCACAAACCATTGTTGGTTCTCCGCCTTTTGACCATAGCTCAGTCGTTCAAGCCTTCGGCTCTCGCTTCCGCTTTCGCCCCATACCCATATCTCCAAATGCTCCCTGAGTTCTACTGCCTTTCCCTAAATCAGAGATAGAGAAACCCTAGCCCCAAAATTTAGCCGTCATCTTCTGCCGCCTGGTCTCCGTTCAAGACGGAGAACATCAGGGGTAGAAATGGATCTCTTCGGCAACCTCCTTGGGCAAAAATCGTAGCTCGATGTAGAAGGAAAGAATCTCGACCTAGTGCTTACCTGTGCCGACGATTGTCGTACTTCCCCCCTCCATTGTCGTCGCCGGTACCTGACTCAGAGGCAGCGGTCTTCGTGTTCGGAGCAGATCAAACCTGCTCCTCCATAGGCTCCAACTCGGTAAGCACTCTACTCTTTAATTTAATTCCTTCCAAGTTGCATGTTCATCTCCTCCGCCACCACATTTTCCCCATGGTAACCCAAAAAAAAAAAATGAAAAATCCGTGTAAACGAGTTGCTGATATTTTGTGGTTTG